TAGTGGATGGTTGTTTTCTGACTGGTCGGCAGACCGCCGACCGGTCGGCCCTACTGGTCGGCTGCAATATGGTCGGCGGTCGGGGTCGGCGGTCGGCAGGGATGCAACCATGAGAAGGAAATTTTTTTTTTGAAACTGAACTTAGGGCAGGACAGCGGGTTCATACATTCTGCAAAGTTGTAGTGTGGGCATGCCATCCTTCACAAAGAGCCAGCAGCCCGTGGACTGCGCCGTGCCTCCCTGGCAGGGCATGAAAACAAAAAAAAAGAAACAAAACAAAAACAGCAGCAACGACAACCTGAAACTGGGCATAATCGTAGTTAGATACTTTCTTGTGTGTATTGGTGTGAGCACAACTTCCTGCACTGCCTTCCTGGACTTGGTCATTTGTTTTTCTTTTTGCTTTTCGAAGGGGCCCACGAGGCCCAACTGCCGAGCCTCCGCCGACCCCCGAAAAGTTAGGAAAAAGTGGGAAAACTCCAAAAACAGCCAAGTGGCCCGATGGACCACCGATCAGATATTAAACTGATCAGAAGATTCAGAACAGATACTACACTTGATCTTAGCCAAAAGGCCGAGAAAGGTAACACTGGCGGAGGTAGTGGTGGTTTAAAAAAATTGAAAAGGGAAGGCTGTGGTAGCCAAACGTGCCCCTCCCTTCTGAACATTGTGAGTGCACATTGGGGCCACATCGTACTCCTTCCTCATTGGATCCAGTCTCTTTTCCGAAGGGTCCCCAGCAGAGATCCAGCAAGGGTCCCATTTCTTAGCAGAGATGTCCGTGGAATTGCAGGCGGGACACGAGCAGGCCAGCAAATATATTCTGGATTCGAATTTAGGTCTGTGTTCCAGATGTTATGGGTTACTACTAATACTACGGTAGCTCTCTTTTTTTTGTTTCTCCTTTTCTGACGTGCAGTGGCCCTAAGGGCCTCGCTCCACTAGTCACCACTTGCACAAAAGACAACACATATGGCGGCGTATGGTTCCATGTTCTAGCAGAAGATTCAATCTAGTTTTGCCCATTTGGTGAGTGGTGGAGTGAAGCCCTGAAAATCACGTGCTTAGTTCGTAAGTTAGTAACCCATAACTGCTGAAACACGGACCTGAATTCGAAGCTACGCCATATATAGTTGGCCTGCTACTGCCCTACTACAAGTCCAACGACTAACTCTTTCTAGGTGAGGAGACCTTTGATAATTACCTGCAGGGGGCCTTCCAGATTCACGTGAAAGAGCTCTCTCTTCTCTCTCTCTCTCTCTCTCTCTCTCTCTCTCTCTCTCTCTCTCTCTCTCTCTCTCTCTCTCTCTCTCTCTCTCTCTCTCTCT